ATATGCCTTATTTGGATTGTTTAAGGTTGCAACCTTATAGAAACCACACCTGTTATTAAAAAACCGGGCTACAGGATGAACTTTGAACATGGCCTTATGGGTTCGATTTTGGGTGGACTTTTCGGCTATTTCAGACCATTATTGAAGGAAATTATTGTTCTAAGGCTATAAAACTAAGATCCAACATAGAAAAAATCATCTAAAAAAATTTTGTGGCCATTTTTGGGTGGTGTTAGTTAACATGTTCTAAAAACTCCTCCAAAGAGATGATTCTCCTTTGTTTTTTATTGCTTTTTGTAACAATTTGTGCATTTTGAAGATTGTTTATCACACGATCAGTGTCATAATTTGGCCGATTACAACAAGTTTCATGCTCGATTTTGGTTGTTTAGGTGTGAGACTCAAAGTCTGAGCTCTAAGTTCCAAAATATTCTTCAAAGTAATGATTTCTCCCTCATTTCTAATGTTTGTATGTAAGAATTTGTATAATTTGATGATTACTGAGTTCATCACAAGATCGATGTGCTAATTTGGTTGATTACAACAAGTTTCGTGCTTGATTTGGCTGTTTAAGTTAAAGACTTAGAGTGAGTTTTGAGTTCATAAAAATCTGCCCAAACAATTATTTGTCCCTCGATATTGATTATAAAAAGTTTTGTGCTCGATTTTGGCTGTTTTGATATGAGACTTAGAGTCCAAGTTTTGAGTGCTGAAATATCTACCTAACTCATGATTTCTCGCTCATTTATCATTTCAAATATATTTTTATATGAATTTTTTATTGCTTGAGTAATTGTTTTTCAAACTATTTTGCTGAAAAAAATTAGGATTTTGACAAATATATATACTCTTGACACATTCAGTATGTGGAAAAGTATTAAAGAATTTTCTTTAATTTTTTGTAATTATCTTCAATTTTATCTCATGAATTTGCAATTATCAAGGGAAAATCTTGGATTTTTCAATTTTATCTTCGATTTTTGTTTTAATACTATAAAATCTAAACTTTGTTGCATGTTTTTGTTCTCCTTAACGACTTAATCTAATAATATGGTAGTAATTTTTATTTTGTTTTTTGTGAATCAGATTTTTTATGCAATATTATTGTGATATTTTTATAAAATGTTAGAAGGTTTGTTCGTATACTTAGATGCATTGATGTGCAATCAAATAATGTTAAGTTTTTATCGACATTATAAAAAATTGTGTTGCTTGTATTTTTTCGATATGATCTTAATGTTCCAAATCTGAATGATGAGATGTTTATTTATGAAGTTTTGCAACTTGGTTTGCTTATTTCCATTCTTTTTATTTTTATTTTTTATAACTGGATAACAACATAGCATATAAATTTGGGAAAGGTTTCAATGCTTTCCCTGCAGCATAGAAGTTCTATCTTCCCCCTACCATCCGGCCATTCAATTTTGATCAAGCGAGCCACTCACCATTTGATCTTAGATTCGACGTCTCAAAGTATTTTATTTTTAGTTTTTTTTTATACAAATTGTATGAATATGAAATTTGGTACGCGCCATCTTCTCATTTGGGCACACCTATAAAAAATATTAAAAATAACTTTTCGATAAAATATAATGACCAAAATACCCCTTAAATCTTTCAGGGGTATTTTGATCATTTTATTTTATTAAAAATACTTTTTTATATATTTTTTGCTAGTACGAAAAAAACATTAAAAATAAAATAGTGTAAAGACATGACATGTGATTGGAGCAATCTTAGCCCTCCATTAAGAATGGACGGTTGGATAAGGGGGAGGATAGAACTTCTACACTATAGGGGAAGCATAGAAAGCTTGCCCTATAAATTTACCGATTAGGTTGTTCAATTTGACAGTGACATGAAAATCAGATCATAGGTTGCTTAGAAGCTCATCACATAGAATTCATACTTGTAGTCTTTTTTTGTTGACATGAAAATCAGGTCATAGGTTGCCTAGAAGCTCATGTAGTCTTTTTTGTTGACATGAAAATCAGGTCATAGGTTGCCTAGAAGCTCATGTAGTCTTTTTTGTTAACATTTTTATGTTGTTCTTGATTATTGATTAGTGATGAGTATTGTAACTCTAAAATAAAAGAGGTTAACAAAATCATAGAAAATATAAAAAAATCCAAAAAAAATAAAAACATGAAATGTATGCTCAAAGTAGGATTAAGCAAAACACTTCAAAATGATGTTAAAAAAGTAGTAGAAAAATGGATTTTAAAAACCAACTTGTGTGTGGGAATATTTTCGAAATAATCCAAAGAATGGGAAAAATGTGAAAACAAGAATATATAGCCAAAACCAATGTTTAAAAAGTCATTGACCCGATCCGGAATCGGGTATTGTCCAGCCAGTCCCAAATCCACTTTAAAAACAGGATCCGGCCGATTTGATACAAGAGCCGGTATTATGAAGTAACACAACAGACACCATGACATCACACAACGGACACGTCAAATATTGATGTCATCAAACGGTTAACTTCTAAGTGAGCCCACCGAAAAGGAGAGGATTGGTTGCAGCCACACAATAACCGTTCTTGTCACGTGCTTACGTACAACATGAGTCCAATTCCTTTTATATTGCCATTTGTTCCCACATCTCTTCGATGTGGGACAAATCCTTTACAAGCCCATTTCATTATTTTTTTTTTTTGACAATATTACTATCACTTTATTAATATAGTAAAGAGAAAATTACAAATTTACATAGAAGTCAAACAAGTAAAGTCTCAGAGATAACCATTTCCCCCAAATCAACTCCTTTTTTCGCCAAACCATTTGCCACTTCATTAGCCTCTTTGTAAATATGTTGGAAAGAGACATTCAACTGTGAAGTGATATCTACAACCTCTATCCATTTATCTCATAGCAACCATGGAGATTTAGTTTCCATTTTGCACCAGTTTATGATATTAAGCGAATCCCCTTCCACAACACAAGGTACACAGTTGAATCTTTGAAGAAGAGTGCGGAGTCCCCGAAGTATTACTTACATTTTCACATAATTAGTAGTATTCAAACCACAAGACCCTACATAACATAACACAATAACCGGGCGGTTAGCAGTTAGATTGGGTAATTTTGCGAACAATGCTCAGAACCATCGTATGGCCTGTTGACTCACCTGGTTCTATCTTTCTAACACTATTTTGTAACACGTTTCAAGGGAGCTAGTTATTGAAAGTCTATGGCATAAAAAGAAGAACAAACCCACAACATACCTAAAAGGATGTGCAGATTCATGAAACCCTCAAGTTCAATACCCCATGGGAATGGTAATCTGTATTGCCCTAAATTTCACATAAAAAAGACTAGTTAAATTTAGATATTTCATAGTTCATGGTTTAGATTGATGTTTGTTATCGTGTTAGTTTAACGTTTTGTGGTTTATTTTATAGTTCGAGTTAAATTTGGTTATTTTGATATTTTATATATAGGGGCACCTATGATAGACTCACGCACATAGTGTTTCAAAAAGTACTAGGCAGCACCTAGGTGGTCGAGGAGGGTCCAAGCTACCAAACGCCTAGGCAAGCGCCCAGAATCTAGGTGGCCCAGTAGAAATTTTGTTTTAGAATTTTCTCTCTCTAAATAGCCTCTAGTTTTAGGTTTCAAATTAACCCAAAACCCACAATTTTACCCTTTTAAAATTAAAAAAACCAAAAAGTACCCTCAAGGAGCCACATTTCCGCTCCTAGGCGGGGCGCAGGGCCTGGGCGGGCGGCCACCTGGGTAGGCTCAAACGGGTTCCCGAGCACCTAGGCAGGCGCCCAGGGATATCCACCTAATTTGGCAGCCTAAGCTTGGGCAATGCTCCTGGGTCTTTTGGACCGCCTAGGCGCTAAGCGGTCCACTTTTTAAAACACTGTACCGACATGAGTGTGAAAGTTGGGCAACTTCTTATGAGATGGACTCATCTCTATAGTGCCATGAAATCAGGATATAAACTCAAAGCCCATAACAAGTTGGCAATATATAGATATTAGAGTGTCTATGTCATTTGTATGTTGTGCTATTGTTATCGATAAGATCCTTGGTTCAAAACTATAGAGCTACTATAGAGCTTGATGTACTTTATAGTGCACAAACTAGATGGATGTTCAAACCGAAAGATATCTTCATGGTGTACAAATGACATATACTGCCTAAAGTTTGCATATTATTTTCGAATAGTGGAGAAAAATAGTATATTTTGCTTTGGAAAATAATAAGTGTTATTTCAAATAATGTATTTTATAATATAGTGTTTAAAGTATGTTTTATCTCATTTGTAGATAGAAAAATAGTAAGTTATTTAACGCACATTAAAGAATCGAATAATGAAAGTCTTATTAAATATGATTTTATCACACGAAATAGTTGAAAAGACTCTTTCTTCATAATTAGGTAATTGTGTCCTCCTATTATAAAACCAAGTTTGTTTTGAGAATTTTCTCACTCTGAAAAGAAGAAACTCATGTGCTAGAGATCTCACCATACTTGTGTATTTATAATAGCAATATGGTTTCACAATCCTCTATTTTTTTTATTCCAAGGAAAAATTTACCTGAAGAACTTAGATGTATAAAAACTTAGATATGCACTAATTCATATCAGTAAGATACACACCAATTCATATTAGTAAATGACAAATATTTTCTTGTGATAGCAATTCATTCTTGCCTAGACTTAAAGGGATTGGATTTCCTCCTTTTGATGCAAATATATTTCATTTTGTTTCATTTCACCACTATTTCCAACATAATTTATTTCAATATGCCATATTTTCATTACTTAAATTCCCTTTTTGTCTACATCTATACATATTAAGGTAAAGATGATCAATTAGAGAATTTTCAACTTTGGAGAAATGTTTTACATAAAGTTATTAAGGTGCATCTTACTTGTATAGTACAAGACTGACACCCTACATAAACATTTTTAGCCAGGATAAAGCTGAGATGATGATGATAACGATGATGAGGATCCAACATAAATATTATCCTTATAAATAACTAACATGGAACTTTCCATTTTGCCCTTTCTTATATATATAAGTTAGGAAATACAAATGAGGAATTTCCCAAACACAAAAACGCAGCGCATGCTGCTTCACGGACCTTTGCCTATAAGCCACAACCAGTCAAGTACAACTCCCAAAAATGAACCCACAAGAATGCAAAGAACCAAGATATTCCCCAAGGCATTTTGTTCAGGTCCCTGAAAAAATAAGACATTTTAAGCTTTCAAATATTTGACTTTGAATAGTTTTACATAATATTTCAAAAATGATGTCCAATCTATTTGATGTTCCTCTTTTTTTTTTTTGGGGTAAGTAAAAAGTAACAAGTCAGTGGGGACTTGGACCTCCTACCCTTTGGTGAGAATGGATTCAAAAGCCTCGTCATGGGGCTCGGAAATACTACCGACAAAGCCTAAACCACTCTCACCAACAAAAGGTGGTAAATCAATGGGGATTTGGCCCTTACCTTTTGGTGAGAATGGAGTCATAAACCTCATCATGGGGCTCAACAATGCTATTATTGCCAAGGCCCTAAGTCATTCTCAACTAATCTATTTGAGGTGTCAACTGGAAAATGACATTGTTAGGCCAAAAAGAAGGTGGTTTGCAAATAATTAATTATAGGATGCATGCAAATTCTCCTGTTGCTTACTTAACTGACCGAGTATTCTACTTGTCTATGTGTGACAGAAATAGATGGTTGATTGACCAATTTTACAAACATTATATGAAAGATAACCAACCTTACAGAGAGAAATGGGTGATGGACCAATTTTACAAACACTATATGAAAGATAACCAACGTTAGAGAGAGAAATGGGTGATGAACCAATTTTGTAATTATTATATGAAAGTTAACTAGCCTTGTAACCCTTTGGTGCTGCGGTGAGTACGCACACAGTAAGATAGCCATTGCTCAACCCCAAGAGGGCCACCAACATGATCATCCAGCCTTGGTCCCCATACTTGGCCGCGAAATAAAATGCTGGGACCAATAAGAAACGACTAATAGTTGCTATCATTAGAGGACGCCTTGATGTAATCTTCAAGTTGTTTATCAGTGGAATATACCTCCCAATAAGATCAAAACCATTGAACATTGCTATCAAAACGAGTGCATACCTATAGAAGAATAATTTCAAGTTAACAAAGTTGCCTTTCTCAGTAAACCTGCATTTCAGACGTCTTCTACTCGGTCTTTGATGAAAATGGAAATTGTTTTTCTTTTGATTAATTAAAAGCAATCTACAGAAATTTACTCAAGTGAGTATGAGTAACTCGCCCAAGTCTATAAAGTAAAAATAAATAAAGATAAAAACTATTAATATATATATATTATGAGTAATGATATTATGTGACCCTCCCACACCCATGTGAGTAAGACCTTAAAAGATTACTATTAAATTTTGACACATATCCCTAGAAAAGTTATGACATGCGTATGGGAATTGGGTGATTGGATTTGTTAATAACTTTTCTAAAGATCTGTATCAAAATTTAATAGTGATCTTTTGGGGTACTACTGTCTGAGAGGGTCTCATAGTATCATTACTTATATATTATAACCTCACTTTCGTAGACATTAAATGTAAAATGGCATGCCAATTAGCTGTCAGCCCTTTATAACTCATTACCCGAGGGATCTTTGGTACGGTCCTCCAGGGTCATATAAAGTATGTAATATAAGCAGCGGAAAACCAAAACTCACCTCGCCTATAGGTCGAGTCCCAAAGTACTAATCAAGAGTTACTTGGACTATAATTCTACATGGAATATGGTTCACAGGCAACCATCTTCTGTTATTCTGTTATGTTTTGTTGTTAACAGCCATCTTTTGTTTCTCTGTTCCGGTTTGTTAACATCTATTACATTCCAACCTAATCAACAAGGAACATAATGCCGATTTTTGTGTGCGCAGAAAAGAGTTACTTAAAAAGATTTTATTGCCCAACCATGAACAGTATTGAGAAGCTGATTCTTGCTGATAACGTATTATGCGGGATCTATGTTTTTGTAGAGGGCAGGGTTTTAGTGGGAAGGCTGAGAACAACAGTATGTACCATACATTAGAATAGGAGTGTCCCGGGGCACACCTATTCCAATTCGACCAGCTTCCAAACTCCATATTGGAGATGGATTTGTAATCAAAACTTCACAGGTCTGTCATCTTGAGCACCAAGATCAAAAAAACCCTAAACTTCGAGACTTAAGAATAGTTCATCTTATACACTTTCTCGGACCAATCTTTCCATTTTTTCTAAGATCAATAGATCTACATTCTTTTTGGAGCTCCAACTTCATGGGTCTGCGGCTGAAATCTATTTGCAGAGATTTAACATGTGTTTTGGGTATTTAAACTCTTGAGAAGCAGGGGAGACAAGAGTGCATAGGATGGACTCACCAAAAGCTTTTCGTTTAGAAGAAGGCATTACAAACACAGGCTAATTGAATTAAGATAAAACATACCATGAGCCCAAACTGTGAGAGCCAGTGTCCTCAGCCAGAAACCCAGGGAAAATGGACAATGTGAGCACGTATATGAGAGCCGTATCAAGAGCGTAGTCTATATTCTGAAACAATAACTCTTTGTTGTTAAGACGCTCTGCATATTTTAGATCTCCTGCAACCTTCAATAAATCCATGATTGGTTCAGAAAGCAAGCCTTACAATGTTCAAAGACATTAAGATAGTGAGGCACCACGCAGCACAAAAGTTTTATGAATTTCTGCGGTTCATATATACATAGGAAACTACATCATAATCTGACGGAATATGGTTTATGGTACTCACTGTTCATGGAGAATAACAGACAATAGAGAATAAATGTACATTGTTGAATGTCCTTGTTAGCCCAATTAAGATTAATCTCCACTATCCATCATAAAAGAATGGATGGTCAAGGCCCTTTTGGAGGTGTGGGTATGCATTTCATAATGCAAAAAGCATACAAAAAGTGCGGCATGCAATCATAATCATCTTCTGTTGACAATGACTGGTTGGGATTAACCATTCGTTGGCTCAAGTCTGTCGAAGTCCACTTGAGAGGAGGAATAGATCATCTCAATCATCCACAATCAATAATGGATAGCACGACTGCATACAGCATACTTTTACGTATTATAGCGTGGGTGTGTTGTGTGTGCACATAAGCACAATGTGGAGAAGCACTTACTCCGAAGCTCTGCTGAATTTCGATGCCACCTGCAGCTAGGTCGGCTGAGACAGTCTTTGATCCTTCTGAAGCTGCCTTAGAACGGTAGTACTTCACAATTGGCAATCTCGGGAACAGAAATGCATAGACAAGAAGGCATAGCAGCTCAAACAACACAGAGATAGCGAAGAAAATAACTGCAACAGCAAATCAGTCAGAACCATATCTTTGATTTTCAGTATCTGTACCACTATCTCTTCAATGTAAATATGTGTTAAAAAATCCTAAAGCCAACTAAGTGACTCAAAGCTGAGTTAAAATAGCTGAGTTTTCCAATCAACCTGTAAAAACTTGGGTGAGTTTTGGAACCAAGTTCTTCAGTTACACAACTACACAAGTTGCCAAATTGAGTTGGTTGGTAAGCTTTCATGAGTTGATAACAAGTTTCTAATCTCCGTGTAAATTAAAGTCGATGGGGCTTCTAGAGTTAATTCCAAACCCGTTATGCAACAAGTTTTAAGAAGGGTAATTGTTAACACCATAAGGACAGGCCACACCATCAGGAGTCACAAATGGCACATATTTATGCAGACCAAAAGAAAAAATAATACCAAAACAGCTTTTGGAAGAACTATTTGAACTTTGAGGTACAACAAAACCAATCCATGAATAACCATCTTAGAATATCCAAGAAGGAACAATTGATATTACTTGCTTCAGTGACATGGATAAGGCACTTTGTACCAATGGCAGAAGATCCAGTATACATAGAAGACCACATTTAGAAAGAAGAGAATGAAAAAGGACAAAATGGCAGTACCTAGTACAAGAGAACATCATGGGGCCTTATCATTGTCAAATTTGCAAACTTGTGGACAAAGTATTTATCAAAATACTAGTTGTAAATTCAACCGATTCCATGATATCGTAATAACTTGAGTGAAGCGCATCAAGTTTAGTTTTCACGAGCATAGAAAGCATGGGCACATGGAGTCGCATTTCATTTGTTAAAGAGTGGATACAGCGAATGAAACCCCACACATGAAAATTGAAGATCAATTGTTTGATATATTTACTAAAGCACTTCAACATGATGGTTCAAATATCTTTTAAGCAAGCTGCAAATGATAGATCTTCATTCACGAGCATATGGAACAATTAAGTACAATTGATGCTTACAGTTTCTTACATGTTGGACTACAAATTAAATTGATCCACACCTTGAAAAGTTCATCGTGATAGTTTGCAGCACAAAATTTAGACTAATGCAATTTGTAAGGTGAAATATGTTGCTTTGGGATACAAAATGATTGTTTAAATCTATTATTTATACAATGTTGGTTTTTATTATAGGTTAGAAATGGAAGCTTTTTTAACCATATGCTCATTTGGTCTTATTTTTTATCATGTGACACAATGAGCAGAAAGTAGTTCTCCGATTTCTTATTTTAAAACTAAAAATAAGCTACACAAGTGTCATAAATAGATGGTCAAAGGTAATTTAAACCTCATGGTATCTCAAGTCACTTAATGGACAACATCAGACATAAACTCCCAAGATATAATTTTGCTTGCGTGGGTATATTTAGTCATATATCAGATCGTGTAAAAATTCCTAGTATTTATTTCACTCAAGCACACCTTATATTCCCATGCAAGTAGGGACATTTCATGCAATCAGGTAATCTTTCAACATCCTTCATGCAATATGGCCATTTTTACCGCAAGCAGTCATTGAAAGGATATAAGTTCAGCATCACTATTATTTCAATTACACCAGAGTACCCAGATCATACAACAGAAAGTGAGTACACAATTCCAATGGAACCACAAAGTGCTAAAAGAAGGAAGACTTGCAAACTCTAAAATTAATGAAAGTGAGAACGCAAAATTGAGAGTTGAGTCACAGCGTGCTAGGGTGTCATGGTATGGTATGGATAAAAGTCTCAGTATTCTTAAATTGGATTCGGTAGGATATATTAATTATGAATGCCAAGTATGTATAAGAATCTGAACTTTATTTCGAGATGATTGAAAATTTCTATCTTGAAGCTTATTTAATGGAAGGATGGGGGAAAGAATTCTGTGATCAAGCCCTCTTTAGTGCATTCTGATGAAGAATAACATGTAGAATATATTTAATATAGAAAAAAGTGAACATAACTACTCTGTGCATATTTTCAGCCAAAAGATTAAGGAAATACTAATTTTATTAGCCCTTCTACTTATCTAGAAGGAATGGTTGGTGCTGCATAGCATGGTTTGCATCATACCTTCCAATGCAGCCAAAGGATGCCAACTTTTTATTTTGCCAACAAGCTCCACAAATAGAAGAAAGAAAGTAAACCGAAACTATCTAGTGTTAACGCATAGGTTTAACGTAAAAATTGTTTGAGGTTTATCAGTTTCCATCATCATTTTCTTAATGTTGCGGCAGAAACTGAGAAGCACTGAATTGCACCAGTTATGTTATAGATGCCAGTCCTGATCCATTTTGAATAATTAAGAACGTATTGGATGTACGCTATGAATTGAACAGCGACAATTTCTTTTGGAACTACCCAAAACCAATTTATCTATGTAATTTAGGTGTATGTGCATACTTGCCCCTTTACGTAGACCATCTTTGGTACTTTCAAAAGCAGCTTTAGTGATTAATCTCAAAGCCGATGTAAGAACTCCAGATGCAGCTAGGCCAGCTAAAAATGACTGCATTTTACAAGCAAAAGAAAACTTAAAAGAAGTTCTAAGATAGTACACGAATGTTGTAGATAAATTCATAAAAAAAACATTTTCATTACCACAGATATAATTATTTACCTGGACAAAGTCAGATCGCATGCAAGAGAGATCCCCAATCATTCCTCCCTGGACATGAGCACCAGCAACCCCAAAAGCTCCACTAATAATGCATATGCCAATATAAGGTCCTATCCCTCCTTTCCCTGATGTCGCCAAATCTAGCTGACAAAGAAAACAATGTCATATTAGAGTGAAAGTACATAGACAAGATGTCATAGCTGAAAACATTTGGACAATTCAACTAGACACCAAATTGAGAAACTATACTATAATGCAAATAACTATGGATTACACTCCACTGTCTCTTAAAAATGGACTTTATGTCCTTGAACCTCCATCAGTTCAACGGTTGGTCACAGCCCAATTGACTAATTTTATATAATTGAGTTTTAGTACATATTTGCAAATGTATTTGCGGATCAATAAGAAGAATACTCACCACCGGAGCTAACAAGGAACTTATGAAAAAAACAAAGTATCCAGTTAAGTTGCGGCATCTGGTATTGATCTTTGCCTCATTGTATGTCAATATCGCAAGCGTTCCAAGTGCAAAAGGTTGAAATACAAGAGGTAGTACTCGTGTAGGATGATACTTCTGCATTAAGCAGCAAAATAAGTTTACTATCTGAATTAATTCATATAATAAGTATAAATATCAAATATTATGAGCACTATTGGAAGATATCTGACATATCCTATTTCAATACCATGATTCTTAAAAACACATATAATGAACTACAAATTTGAAAAAGAAAAAGAAAAAAGTCATCAATTGACAAATAAAAATATTCAAAACACAATAAACATGCTATCTAAATACTAAACCGTCAAATAGCTAACATACTAAAAACCTTATGATGCCATTTTATCCTCGGGAACACATCACATGCATCTTCACACTTTAATTTTCCTAATATAAATTAATGCAATGAAGAATTTAAAGAGCAAATTCAGAGAACTGAAAAATTGATTGAAAAACAATGAACATTTACAAGCAAAGCTTTATAGCTCTCTACTTCTCTAGTTTAACTAGGATTCTAAAAACAACTAATAAGCAAATTTCTAATCTGGCCCTTATTTATAATAAAAGACCTTCTAAGAAGCCAAGAAATCTCAATTTTAATACTTGTCTGAATTAAAACAAAAATTCGCAATGAAAGTATTACCTTGATAAAATAAGTGATTCTATAAGGACCTTAATTGCTTTTCAAATTTCCTCTTAAATCATAAAAACTAAAAACATCCTAAATTACTTAAAAAACAAAAAAATAATCCCTAAAAATCTAAATGGTGCTGTTTGTATAGAGCCGAGTGCCTAAACAATCAAAGTAAAGCGCACCTTCAAATAGTGTCGAGAAATGTGGTTTCAATACTGGAAACCTTTGTGATAGCCTTAAAATATATTTTCATCTCTAATACAAAATTTGAAGCTTTAAAAATAGTATAGATCGAGCACATCTATGAAAACCTGAATATTGATGGTCCAAAAATACGTTACAAGATGGACTATTTCCAAAACTTTAAATCCATGTTTTCTCATGTCCATGCATCTTGATATCGAGATGATCAATTTGAGATATTTGCGCATCAAAACAGACTCTTCTTGTGAAATTTTTGAGGTGGGCTCTAATTTGATTGTTTAGAGCCTCGGCTCTATATAAACTTTTTCCAAATCTAAAACCAACACATTCCCAAAATTTAATAAAAACATTTGAAGTATACCACGATGAAATCATCATCTTCAACACTAATATTGTACCTTGAATCTGGCACCTGTGAGTCATTGGCCAAATAAAAATAGAATGATTATACATCAGAACTGAGGTTATGTAATGAGCTGACCAGCACATAAACTCTGCTTTGAACACCTCGAGGAAAGGTCCAATAGATATTAATTGAATAGTTGTTAAATTGTGCATATATATGCTCGATTCACCCAGATAAGCCTTCTGGGTTTGCCTTGTTTAAGCTATATAAACCCACTGAAATTGCTTCAATCTATCTACGTTATCTTGCTAGAATAGCCTTGGTGCAGCCCTAGAGCAAACTAAACTGAACTTCATTATCGAACTCGGTATTTCACCCATAGCTACCACAATGAATGGAGACCCTGGGGTTTCCTAGTTCGCCTCACCCTCAAGGGTTCCTTCATTCTTTTTAAAATCTAATATCTCCTCACTATCCACAAGAGAAAATGTCCTAATTTCCTCAACTTCTTCAAGAGGTTCTTTGTCAAAAATTATTAGTTTAGCCATAGGTCGTGTTATTCATCCTAGATCAAACCAACTAAGGGATCAAAGAAAAGTGATTAAAACTAAAAATCGGAAGACTGCCTGCAATCAAAATTTCCCCATTTTGGCTCTAAGTCGATGATAGGATCATCTTTATCTACCTCGTCAAAGATAGGTTTAAATAATGACTAGTTATGTGAAAGATCCTCGTTCCTCCCCTAGTTGTGATGCAAGCTTCACCATTTCTATGCTTATGGAACGAATTCTAATCCGCGAACTCAAATCAGTGGGATTCAGATCTAACTTTGTCATGAACAACTAAACACTAACCAAACCGGTTGGATGCACTTTGTGCATTAGATCCTTGAATCTCCTTTTATTTGAAAGCTTTTAATATATTTTGTATGTTAGTTCCTCAATTCTCCTTTCAGATCATTGAATTCCTTATCATGTAACTTTGTCATCATTACGACACAAACTCAACCTTGTCTAGTAACCATTACACACCTCTAGTAGCCATCACACAAACTTCTAGTGGATATCTATAAGGACCCTAAATACTCTTCCAAACAGCCCTTAAAATCCTAAAAAAAAAAAACTAAGAAACCCTCCTAAAAAACATGAAAATTCCTAAAATAAGCTCTACAAATTCCAAAAATTATATCCCTAAAATTTAATAGATTCAAAAATAAGAGAGGCATCATGTTCAGCATCAGACATATTATTGAAAAATTACAAAAAGGATAAAAGAGAGTTCAGATGCATTGTTACAAGTCCTATATGTGTATTCATGTAAAATATTGAGTCTAGCCCAAATGAAGAATACATTAAGATGTAATTTTATTTTATTTTAAATGAAAAGTGGATGCGTTCCTTCATAAATTCGAACACAAGTAAATCTAATCGACAACAAAAATGGAAAACACTAAAGTTTCACTGCATACTTTATTGCTTATCCAATCAGCAAATCAATTCAGCAGTAATTGGGATTCTCACATACATAGGTGATTTTGGGCTATTATATGTGGATGCTGGCATTAATAAAATTACCGGATCATGCCATTATTGACTTTGCATTATTTTTGTTGTGAAACCTTGATATAGGATCCCTTGACAAGCATCTTGGCAGTCTTAGCTACGTATTTGCCCAAAGGGTTTCTATATATTCCATCTACTCTAGTCCATGCTCTCTCTCTCTCTCTCTCTACTAAAAACAAAAACAAAAACAAACAAAAAAAGTATGGAGGTAACAAATACCATAAGATGCTGTTGTTTGTACAACTAGAGTCTAATATCATAAGGGAAAACTAACCCAACTTGAAACCACTGGTTCTTCCCAATCAATGAGATAGAGCCTAGCACATTTAAATTTAGTTGATTCAATAATTTGTTGTATAATTTCATAAGAATTATGTCATCCAAAAGGCACTAAAAATTTCCAATAAACCCTGATATATCAAGGAGTTTCTTACAGTACAACCTAAAGACTAGAAGCTCATCACAATTATGTAATGAGAATAGCATTTTCATTCCATACTAGCATTCCTTGTCACTTACCGGGAACAAGTGATTATAGTAATCTTCAATTGTCAACATACTGTTCCATGAAAACAAACATCCATTACCAAGAAGCCAGCATAAGGCAATTGCAACAAACTTCCCCTGCAAACGACATGTCATAATCAGTCTATTCTTCTCACTTATCAGCAATATCTAAACCATGTCAAAGCATGAACTTCTTACATTCAATTTATAGAATTTGAATCAATACAAAAACTTTTAAAGTAGTAATTTGAGAAAGCAACCGACTTTTATAGATCATTCTCAATGGAAGTACCTCAAGCCTAAATCGAGTCGCATGCTCATGATTTCTGGTTTCCATGGCAGCTCTCTTTTAATGACTATAGTGACTGCAAGAAAATTTGCATCACAATACAAACAAATAGAAGTCCCGTCTCAATCTGTTTCTATTTAGCATGAATCAAATGGTACAACTTTGAATAAGCACTTGCTCATGTTGCATGTACAATTAAATTTAAGATTTCTACAGTGAGCACAAGACCAAAAGACACTCCTACAACTTGCAGTAAACTCAACAAGAGAATGAACGGCTGTAATCAAGTAATCAACAAAAGAAAGGAAAAGATGAAGAAATAATCTATAGGAGGCTTTGTTCGGGGTATTTAAAGCTGATATTTTATTTTGAGAGGAGGTTTTTCAAGCATGACAAACTAGAACTGATTTGTAAAGCTGGATGGAAAAAAATGTATAATATTTCAAATAAAAGTACAGAACGAATATATAATGATGCATTACAGACTTAGGGTTTACGAATAGTGAACTACACCTGACCTCAACCATCTCTATTAGACGATGGATGGATGATGTGAGCCATTCGTCAGCTCAATGTTTGCTTTGGCAGGGGAATGCATGTCAACTGTCCATATATGTGCACCACATTGGATATCATTAATCATATAATTTATGCTGATCTAAATGAACCAACAACAAATGATGAATCATTGAATTTGAATCTCCCAGAAACTACTTATCTGTTTCCTTGTAGCAATTGTAATATAAATTTTTTATAGACAATGTCTTTGAGATTTGTAGACAATGTCTTTCCACAATCAGAACTTTATTGGTTTCTCATATTCTCAAAACATAAGAGAAAAAGAAAAAACTAATAACAGGACAGTTATGCCCTTGTGTCAGTTTGTAATACGGTTAGGATACTGATTAAAAAGGAACTGGATTTTAATTTACACGATGAAGAACCCATAAATCCATTACTGTTATACAGTAGATCCGTATAAATTACTATTCTGCTGCCCGACTAATCCCTGCCCAAAACAGCCTCAAACATGGAATATAGGTGTCAGATTGTCGAACCCAATTTAATACAAAGTACAAAGCTTTTCTCAATAACTCAAATAATATAACAAATTGGGAATTCATCCATCCCTAATTAATCCAATTACAAAATGTTTAATGAAAGCATTAGGTCTCGAATTCCTTTTTGCTTTGGGTAGGTCAGCAGTAAAATCGAACTTAAGCTGTAGAATTGCAATCAACAACACCGAACCAAGCAAGGCCAAGCCCGATTGCTATAGTTTACTCCCAAATTCCTGATAAAGCAAATTTCACATAAATGCTCTATTTACTACATTCAACTGATTTTAACATAGTAAGAAATGGGACCTGACCAAATGGTCCATTAAGATGAAAACCACCAAAGCTTAAAAACCCCGCTTGGGTTAGGGGCCGAGTAATTCGGGTGAGCTTGAGTGAACACGCAAATAGTTCACAAAAAATTAAAAAATTCCTTTAAAAAATAAAGATAAATGCACAAAGAAGTTACATAAAGATTGAAATTCAAAAAAATTGCATAAAATATTGGACTGTGGAAATTTTTGATTTATAGCTTGAAAAAATATTTGAATTTTTCGAAATAGGGGAAAATAGGAAAATAAAATTGACAGAAACAAAATTCAGAAATCATTATAAGAATATGAAATAAATAGAAATACATTGATTAGTGAGTTACTAATACTGATTTTTATACAAATAATATAATTTATACAACCTCGGGTTTGTAAAGTCGGCCTCAGAACCCTGCCGAGGCAATCACTCTGGACGCGGACTAATCTTCCAACATTGAGAACCACAGTGAGTTTTTTCTTGCAAAGGATTCAACAAACAAGCACTGATCAATAACCAAAAATGGGACATTTTGATGTACAACAACAGTACTGAAATTCATTAGCAAAGAAGCATCAGTAAAAAAATCACAATTTGATGTGCACTAACAGCGGTAAAAGCTATGGCCCATAAGGAAAAATCAAGAAGTTTGACCTAAAAAGATAGTTCAAGTTCCTAATCTTTTATGCAACTATATATTATTATATGAACAAGTTACCCACTCCCCATGCTAAGTAAATCGATACCCACAAATTCCGGAGCTGAAAATATATTAAAGAAAGAAAAAACAGGGCATCTGAGAAGCACAAGGACTCCATTCCAATTTTTTATAAAATAAACCGAATCCACAGCAAAGATCTCAAGAAAAAAAACACATACATACACACTTAGCGCTATAGATACCACGAAAGAAAAAACATTAAACACCATCAAATTCAAACATGTTCAGTGAGAGAGAAAGAGAGAGAGAGGCCTGCATTAGATGCTCCCAAGCGATGCTCGAAAGGTGTTGAGTAGCTAACTGGAGTTGCAGTGTCCCCACTCAAATGAAATGAAGAGAGTGAAAGAGAGAGTGATGATTTACGAAATCATGAATCTGTAATAAGCATCCGGACTACTACTTTCAGTAGAAGTTTTCTATTCAGGAATTTTGGAATTAATATTTGAAACATGGGAAGATTAAACTTCAAAAATTAATGTAGATTTTGAATTGTCTCTTCATTTTGGGTAGGTCCTGTTTTAGTATTGGACATCTCAAAATTTTGTTTGGTACAAGGTGGGTAGATCATGGAAATCGCACCCTTTTAAACTTCAAGAGGACGCCTGAAAAAGGCGGGAACCTTATTCGAATGTTACCAACGCGTCCTAAACGGAAAATATTCGAATCCCACCCTCGGGAGTAGAGTGTTTATTTACTTCCTCGCTAGAGTACCGCCTACAATTAATTTTAGGACCCCAAACTTCCAGGATAGAGCTTTTTCAACCCATAAATTAACTTAAAAAAAAACGAAAGAATTAACCTAAATGTTCCCTTTTACATACTGTTCAAAAACAAGTTGTACCTCTTACACATTTGAAAAAAATAACGTCTCCACGTTGAATAGAGTCTATGTAGTTTTCCAATAATCAAATCTAAACGGTAGAAAACTCAAATTTTATTTTTTTAAAAAAAATAATCATCTAATAATGCTGGAATAGTTCCTAAAATTTCAGATTGAAAAAGTTTCCCAAGAATGTTTTTTTTCTGACGGAGTCGAAACAAACTATGCTGCCGAAGTAGCATAGTTTACATGCACCCAAAAAATTGGTAGCGTAAGAATAATTTGACAAGTGCTTAAAAAAAAATTCTTGTTGGGAAAAGTGGAAATTGTAAGCATAAAATCTATTGACCAGTCATATTCTCGTCGAAAATGTTTGCTAAATGCCATGTATACGATCTAACTACCATGTTTGCTAAATACTTTTTCTTTGAAATCTCAATCGTTTGTCCGTTCTACACGATCCGATGACCGGACGAGATCGGCTGACAAGTGTAAATGACATTTTCCGTTTCTTTTTTGTTTTTTTTTTTTTTGAGGGGGCTTTAGGACCTTCAAATTCTGTGTATGAATAGTTTGGGTTTAATTTTGGGTAAATTGTTAAGGGAAAATGGTTCATGCTTCGATAGAGATGAAAAACCTTTACACGAAGGGAAAAGTTTATATAGTGCCGATGCTCTAAACAATTAAATTCAAATTAAAAGCCTACCTCAAAGTAAATTTCATTTGAGGAGATTGTTTTGATGCCCAAATATCCTCAAATTTATCATCTCGACATCAAGATACATAGACATGATAATGGATTTCAAGTTTTGAAAATAGTGTATTTTGTAGTGCATTTTTGGACCGTCAATTTTCAAGATTTTCAAGTTTTCATAGATTTGTCGATGTACAATATTTTTAAGCTTTAAACTTTATAAATAAAAATGAACTATCGCAAAGATTTTCAGTGTTGAATCCACATTTCTCGACACTATTTGAAGGTAGACTCTAATTTGATTATTTAGAGCCTAGGCTCTATACAAACCGTACCCTTACATAAATCATTTGAAAGTAGTATTTCAAGTTATAAAAATGGTGTATATTGTAACAAATTATCTAGACCATCTATTTTTCTTTAAAATAAAGTGGTCTTAGATCCAAAAATTTTTGTGCCATTTTTTGAGTTTTAAATTTTATCGTGGATGTTAGATAGACAAGGGACCGCAGAGTAATAGGTGAGTCACTTACTCACCAAAAGCGTGTCTTACCCAAAAAACCCTTGTAAAACTAGTGGTGGCCATCTAAGGTAAGTTTGAAAAAAATCGACTACAAATTTGGAAAAGCATTATGCATTATTTGGTTCTTCGAAGAAAACTTTTGTGTATTTCGTGGGAGCTGAGGTCTTTCTGGTTGCAGATTATGGACCTGGTGGCTCCTGGTGGCTCCTTTTTCAGTCTCGTTCTGTCATGTCTATCATGAGGCGAACTTCTTGGCTAACTCTCTGGCTAAAGGAAGGGCCTCTTTGCCTATTCTTGTTGTTTACTCTGATATAATTTCCTTTGAGTAGATTTCTTTAATAAAGTAAAAACATTTGTTAAAAAAATTTGGCTACTAGTTTTGTATTTTAGGCTAGAAAGGTTTTGGGCCCATTTATGTATGGCAAAATAGTTTGATAGGGCTGCAGCCCTTTCAAAATAAGTAAAGCCCCAGCTTACAACTCATAAAATATTTCAATTCAAGCATTAGAACACCTTGTCATCGATCATCTCGGCTTGAGCATTATGGTTGTGAAAAAAATAAGTATTTCAATATCTGGAAACATTGTATATTGTAATAAATTATCTAGACCGTCCATTGCACCTTAAAAATAAGAGCTCACTCCGTGTTAGAAATTGATTTTAGAACCATCATAGATATTTTTGTTGCCCAAAGTATCTGAGGTGAGGCTTTATTCCATTTTCATAAAGGCTAGGCCCTACATAAACTTCCTTGATATGCACCCAACAAGAAGACCTGCAGTTTAATGTTTGGACCAGTCTCATTTAAATTAAGCGCTTTTTGGGTCACTTTTGATAAAAAAGACCGTTTTGGGTAAAGTTTCAAAGAAAATATCGTTTTCGTATACCCGGTAAAATTAGACCACCCTTCATACCTATAGTACATTTTCCTTGCTTCTTGATGTTATTTTTGTTAGTTTTTAAATAGATATTGTCCGTAAAGAGACCATTTACTTTTTATACAATAAAGTCACAATCATATTCTTGTCTTCTAAATTTCAAAATGAGTGGATGTAATAGTGTCATTGAATATATACAAAGTTCCAAACAATTATTCTCGGACTTCGTGACTCACTTCAAACTATCCAATTTAACATTTAATGAGTGGGAATAATTGTGACCTCATTATAATAAAGATAAATGGTCTCCTTGTAAACAATCCCTTTTAAAATACTACAGGTCTGGACTCCTAAGCTGAGTAACTGAAGGCTACCTATGGATAGGGCTGGGAATTGACTCCCAGCCGATTGACCCAACAAGGAACTGGGTTTGGGCTCAACAGGTTGGGTTCTGATCTGGAAGCACGGACCGAGTATGAAGCAGGTTGTGCCCGGCTCGACCAAGGTTTTAAATTACCCTTTACATCACACATACTAATTGTAGTAGTAAACATTTTCTACAAATTAATAGGCCATGCATAACTCTTGGCCTTGGGCAGATAAAATTGACCTCTTATCTAGGCCACCGACTTTAGTGCCTCAAAACTATGTCATGATCTATTGATCATTCTCAAATGTTATTTTTCTTACTCGTTCTCTTATTAGATGACCTCTCTCTTCTCTCCTATTTTTGTGGTTCTCCTATATAAATCTTGGTCCTACACCTAGGTTCTTGGTTTACTTGGCCCTGAACCTTTTGGTTTTCAGGGTTGAGACGGTTTGAATGGTCTAACTAGTTGTTAGACAAAGCATAGACCTCATTTTTTGGACAGCTCTTACACCTATGGGGGGTCTCAATCCCTAGTTGTTGCAGGATAGCACCTGAGGTAATACGTTAGCTGTTGAGGGTGGTTCTAGCAACACGTACCTCTTGACCAAAGGTTTCCCCATGGTGGACCACTTGGTTATTAATCTGATAATTCGGATTGCTAACTATAGACTGGCTCACACCAGAGACGGACTGACTCTGGTTTGAATAGGTCGAGGGACCTTTGAATGCACAATACTTTCAAGCTGGCCCTGGTACGAGTAGGTCCAAAGAACCCCCGAATAGATACCACCTTCATTGTGCATGGGTGGGACTGCTAGGTCCAGATGAGGCAGTTAACTCCGAAGCAGACTTCATCTGAGGGAAGACTCGACCATGATACACTCTAACCTAGTAACCTCTAGTCAATAGATTCTAAGCACACCGATCAAAAACGGTTTTTGAAAGATTTGACCTATGTCACTATAGGTAGACTAGGTTGAGGATCTATTTCAAACTAATAGAACTTTTTCAATTTTAGAAATGCTGCTGGGCTTGATAAGTACCCACGTAAGACCGAGCGTATTGTTTTGGAGAAAACATCGACTTCCTATTGTGGATTTCACTTAAGGGTGAGGATTCTAGAGAGGCACTTATCTTAAGGCTGATGCTCATTCCAACTGCCCTGCCTATCCTAGGAACTAGGTGACCCTCACGACTTTAATGCTCGCTTTGAGATTTTAGAAAACAAATTAATTTGATACTTCTAGGATGAAAGAAGTCAAGTCGGTCGCCACGGCGGGTGTATGCAGTTGTGTGTAAAAGAGAGCTTAGTGGTGATGCAAATCAGTAATTTTCACACAAATACCTATCTAAAGAGTGGAAGACTGAAAAATATGTTTAACTCTCTGAACTAGAGAGCATGAATAAGTGAAAATAGTGAAATACAACAATAAAAGTAAAAAAAAAACAATCAATCAAGGAGCCTATTTGGCCAAAAAGAGGCTCTGGAAGAGGTTCCAAGGGTCTCAGTTAACTACACTGCACAATGTGGGGTGGAACAGTGATATTCCGCATCGCACGATCTAGCGCAGAGCAGTCTTAGATCCTAGATGGATCCGGGATGTGCCGGGGTGCTTCCTGGTTTTCCTGCTACCCTCAGGAATATCTTTTGACATCACATCAAAGGCTTTCTATAGACGACTTTGATGTGTCTACAGCTCAACATGGCCCACGAAAGTGGGCCATGTTTAATTTAAAATATTGGCCGTAGTTCACCGCCCTTCTATTTCTTATTATCATTTACCTATATAGGTTCGCATTTTCGACCTCAAAAGGGTTAGCACTCAAATGAAACCCTAACCCTAAACTAAGCTAAATCGCAACCCTAACCCTAGTTTTAGAAACCCTAAATCTTAGTTCACTATAGGAGCCAGAAACCTTAGTTTTCCAATCCATTATGATCATCCATTCCATAAGAAAATTCATTCATTAATTCCATAATACCTTAATTGGTAGATTTTAGAAGCTTTTTAACCTTAATTCATTCAAGACCAAGAAAAGTCATTCATTTTCAAAGGAAGATGGTTCCATTTGTCAAATAAAACTCTGATCAAGAAATCAATTCTAGGTGCCAAATCGGAGTTCATTTATTTTTAGTTTTATTGTGTTTTTTATGATTTTCAATATTTTATTATGCTTCCCACATTTATTTAGTTATATACTCGTGATTTTAATGTGATTACAGCCAACACTACCTACAATCCAAAGAGGGTTTGATATTTTAAGTGAGATCTGATACGACTAATGTGCCGCAAGTAGCAAGATTTTATTTGATTTGAAAGGTTTTTTTACTTGCATATTCTGATCAAAATTACCCAGCTAATTGATTTTCTGAATTTCTCCTTCCTTTTTAATTGAAAAACTTGCCTATTTTGAGGGTTTTGGGTTTCTTAAAGCTAAAATTTATGGGGTTGGGATAATTTTGAATATGTTTGGTCTAGATTATGATGTGAAATGACTATGGATCATAGTGTATTAAGCTAGTGAGGTCCTTACGGATGAAATGACTATTCTAAGGCTTTTCTAATGATTTTAAGGGTAATTTCTACCCCTTTAGATCTAGAAATTCAAAGAAAAAATGTCAATTTCAAGTTGGGTATCTACATGCCCGAGATACTAATAATCTGTCTATCATAGAGATTTGAAGTGATAACTATTCCTCTATGGCAATTATGTTTCCTGGAGTTGTGTGCGTAGGCGTATGTATTTTCATGCCAATGAGGTTTTGATAGAAACCTCGTAACCCAAGCTGGAAAAGCCGGGCGATCTAATAGCTAATTGCTTAGTTAGATTGAAAATAGCCAGTGGGTGGCAGTTTTGCGTAGTTTTGGTGATCGATCGGTATTTTAAAAAATAAAATAAAATAAATAAATATAAATTCTCAAAAATAAGGAATTTGATTTGTAATGCATTTTTTTAATATTCTTTACATTATGATAAATATTAAAAATTATGGTCATTAATACTCATTTTTAAATTTTCCAATATTTTTCGTAAAATTGTAAAAATACCCCTTAAAACAAATCGATTAGTTAAAATGCATTTTTTTCATTAATTTTCAACTTCATTCGAATGTGTTTTGTTTTAAACATTCTTTATATGCTTTTCATATTTTAGTAAAACACAATAAAAATTGTATCTTTTTAAATTTTTTCAACACTCTTTTGACCGCCCATGACGTGCCCGGCAAGAACAGTTGAATCAGCCGATTTACCGGTTAGGCGGGTTAAACTGCTACCGGGCACATATCCGTTTAACCATTCTGGTTCGATTTTGCAAACACTAGAAAAAACTGATGGACTTTCTAAGTTTTGCCCAAAAGAGAACGGAAAAGAAAAACTGCTAGGAGGATTTGAACTTAAGTAGAACTTTAGAGGAATACCCCGGGAACACCCCATTTCATCTTTCGTGTTTGCAATTATATTAATGTGGGGCATTCAACTTGTTTTGAACCCAGTTTTTTTTCTCCAGGGTGCAGACTATATGCAAAAATCCATGATAGATGGCCTGATGTCGGTTGGTTCTTTGTTTGCACACAAACGTTGACAAATGAAGGGACTGATATTACGTACACTTCGAAATTTTGAATTAGAAGGATGGAGGATCAAAATAATTGACTTCCCACTTTTTCTTTGTTTAGTTTTAGCTCAGATTTTAGGGCCCAACAATCAGATAGCTTTGGGCATGTTTCCATCAAAAAAGAGCATTACTTATCAACCAATATTCTATTCAAGGCAGCACATTTGGCTGAAGTTTTAAAAGTCTTTTTAAGAAAACAACTTTACAAATATTTCTTTTAACAATAAGAAGTTATGAGATTTTGTTTTTGACTTTGGCATTCCCACTTTTATGTAGGAAAAAATGGATCAATTTGCCCCCTTTTCTAAAATGAAAATCTCAAAGCTTCGTATCCTTCTTTTTTTTTCTCTTCCCTCCTACCAAATCCTTTGTTTGAAAACCAAGAGATTCTTCCCTCCTTTCATATTCTTTTTCTAAAGAATATGAAAAGGGAAGAATGGGATGGGGTTTCTAGAGAGAGAATGGGTGGAGCCAAAAATAATATTGGATTTCTAAAGAGAGTAAGAGACGAGGTAAGACTGGGGTTAGGTTTCTAGAGATAGAATGCCAGTAGATGCGAAAATGAGATTGGACTAAAAGACATAGAATATGAGAGCAGACAAGAATGGGGCTCAGCTTCTAGAGACCATGTAATAGTGCAGAAAAACATGTTGGGCGTTTAGAGAGAGATTGTTAGAAGGAATAATGAGTTGGTTGTCAAAGAGAATGTCAGATAGCTTAAAAAATTTGGGCTTTTAGCGAGAGAAAGAAATGAGAAGGAATAAAACTATGGGAAAAAATTTACAAGATGAGAGAAATTGAGGCCCCAATAATTTATTGTTAAAAGTGTGGGGGTAAAATGACCCATTTTGCCCTCTAAAAAAAAGTAGGCGAGCTGAAGTCAAAAATAAATTGTCAATTAATCCAATGTCCTAAATATAAAATCTAATAAGGCTTTTTTCTTAAAAATCCCAAGTTTTAACTATCCACTTACTGCTTTCGCTTATAAGTCCATCTATTTGATCATCAACAGCATAGCGGATTTATTTTAAAAAAGTGTGTGGTCTAATGTGCTGCCCTTATTTATTTTTAAGAAGATAAGTAAAAAAAATTCTAAAGCACATGGCAAAATCAGAGGTACTTTTCTTATTAGAAAACCCAAAAAGGAATATAGAGATAGCAATTGTCGTGCAACTGCCACGATGATCACATTCAACAGGAATTATATAATTTAAATTACTTACATAAGACTCTCTTTCCCCTTTCCTTATATATAAAAGTTGGGAAAGACAAATCAGAGAATTTCCAAAGAAAAAACAAATGTACATCACCAACCTTTGCCTATAAGCCACAACCAGTCAAGTACGGCTCCTGAAAATATACCCACAAGAAGGGACAGAACCAATATGTTCCCCAAGGCATTTTGTTCAGGTCCCTGAAAAAACAAGACACTTCCATCTTTCAGATATTTATGTCAAAATAACATTCAATTCATTTGAGGCGTCAACTGAAAAGTGGCATTGCTAGGCCAAACGTAAGGTGGTTTGGAAATAACTAAATATAGGATATGATATGACTGCAAATTCTCCATTTTTCTAACTGCACTGACTGAAAGTATGCCACCAAGTAGACAGCCTCACCTTGTTTCTTCTTTGGTATTCCCACTTGTGTGTGTGTGTGTGTGAGAGAGAGAGAGAGAGAGAGAGTGGATTGACCAATGTTGCAATCATTTTCTGAAAGATAACCAACCTTGTAACCCTTGGGTGCCACAGTTAGAACGCTCACAGTAAGATAACCATTGGTCAACCCCAAGAGGGCTGTCAACATGATCATCCAGCCTTGTTCCCCATACTTGGAGGTGAAATAAAATGCAGGGATCAATAAGAAACGGCAAAGTGTTGCTACCATTAGAGTAGGCCTTGATGTAACCTTCAATTTGTTGATCAGTGGAATGTATCTCCCAATAAGATCAAAGCCGTTATACATAGCTATCAGAACGAGTGCATACCTATAAATGAATATTTTCAAATCAGCAAAGTTGCCTTTTGCAGTGAATCTCCTTTTCAGGCACGTTTTATGCACATTAAATGAAAATGCAAATGGTTTTTCTTTTGATTAATTAAGAATTACTTGGACAATGGCTCTACATGGAATATGGTTCACAGGCAACCATCTTCTGTTCCTCGGTTCTTTTTTGCTGTTAACAGCTATTGCATTCGAACCTAATCAACAAGGAACAGAATGGTGATTTCTATATGTGCGTAAAAGAGTAACTTAAAAAGATTTTACTGCCCAAACACTAAGAGTACTAATTGACTCTCAAAAATATATATATATATATTATGAAGAGTACAAAGTAGCTGATTGTTGCTGATAAATGTTAAGATAAATGTTAGTGGGAAGGCTGAGGAGAACTTTATGCATTACACATTAGAATAGGAGTGTCCCTGGACACACCTATTCCAATGCAACTCATCATCATCAGATCCTTTTCCCAACTATTAGGGGTCAACTTCTTATTCCAATGCATTATGGAGAATAATCCAAGAACTTCACAGATCTATCATTTCGACCACCATGATCATGAATCTGAATTTTGGGATGTAAGAACAGTCAATCTTATACCCTTTTTATGGACCTTTCTTTTCACTTTTTCAGAGATCATTTGATCTACCTTATTTTTGGGGCTCCAGGTTCATAGATCTGAGGCACAAATCTATATCCAGTGATTTAATGTTTTTTTGGGTCCTAAAACTCTTGAAAACCAGGGCAGATGCATGAGTCACCTGGGCAGACTCACCAAGGACTTCTCGTTTAGAGAAAGGCATTAAACACACAAGCTAAGGTCTGTCGAATAAAATAAAACATACCATGAGCCCAAACTGTGAGACCCAGTATCCTCAGCCAGAAACCCAGGGAATATAGACAATGTGACGATATATATAAGAGCCATATCAATTGCGTAGTCTTTATTTTGAAACAATAAATCTTTGTTGCTAAGACGCTCTGGATTTTTTAGATCTCCTGCAACCTTCAATAATGATTGGTTTAGAAAGCAATCCGTTCAATGTTCAAAGATAGTGAGGTACAAGGCAACAAAAGTTAAATGAATTTGGGCAACAAAGAAGTTAAATGAATTGGGCATTCATGTGGGTGTGTGTGTGCACACGAGTGTGCACATGCACATGAGTAAGCATAATTTGGAGAAGTAATTACTCCTAAGCTCTGTGGAATTTCGATGCCACCCGCAGCAAGGTCAGCAGAGACAGTCTTCGATCCTTCAGAAGCAGCCTTAGAACGATAGTACTTCACAATCGGCAATTTGGGGAACACAAATGCATAGAGAAGGAGGCATAGCAGCTCAAACAACACAGAGATAGCGAAGAAAATAACTGCAATAGGAAATTGGTCAGGGCCATATCTTTGATATTTGAAATTTGTACCAGTATCTCATTAATGTATAAATCAGTGCTCAAAAGCTCAAAAAGCCAACTCAGTAACTCAAAACCAGGTGACTAGCGAGTTCTCCAATCAACTAGCAAAACCTTGGGTGAGTTTTTGTACCACATTATTCAGTTACATAGCTCCACAACTTGCCGAAGCAAGTTGACTTGGAGAGCTTTTCTTAGTTGATAACAAGTTTCTATCTTTGAATGAATTGAAGTTGACAGGCTCCTAAAATTAATTCCGACATGTGTTGAGTAGTGTAATTGTTAACAGCATGAGGACAGCCTAAACCATCACTAGGAGTTACAAATGGCACATGCCTCATGCAAAACTACGCAAAAAATAATATCTGATTACTGATTTGGAAGAACTATTTGAACTTTAAGGTACATCAAAACTAATCCATGGATAACCAACTTATAATATCCACGAATGAAACAAGTGATATTACTTGCTTCTGTGACATGGATAAGGCACTTTGTACCAATGGCAGAAGATCCATTATTCGCCAAGAATATCACATTTAGTTGGAAGAATATGAAAAAGGACATAATGGCAATAACAAGTACAAGAGAACTGCAAGGCCTAATCATTGTCAAATTTGTGAATTTAGGATAAAGTATTTATTGATTGGGAGCAGTAATTACAACCGACTCCACTATATTGTGAAATCTATGAGTGGAATGCATCAAGCACACTTTTCATGAGTACACAAAGCACATGGACATGGAGTGTCATTTCATTTGCTGCAAGAGCTCTCTACCCATGAGGACTGAGGAACAGTTGTTTGATATATTTTAAACAAGCTGGACAAGATAGATCTTCATTCACAGCATATGGACAATTTAAGTAAAATTGATGCTCACAGTTTATTATATATTGGAATACAAATTAATTACATCCGCATGTTCAAATGTTCATCTTGATAATTGTCAGTAAATGCAATGTGTAAGGTGAAATGAGGTGATTTGGGATACAAAATAACTGTTTTACATCTATTATTCATACAATGTTGGTTTTTATTATAGGTTTAAAATGAAAGTGTCTTCTTCATCTACTCCTTTACTCCTATTTTTTTTATCAAGTGACATGATGGGTAGAAGCAATTTTACCCTTTTTATTTTTAAAAATAAAAAATAAAATAGATGAGCCTAGAGGCGGCATTGACACAAAGTTAGAACTTTGGAGGAATGCTATAGAATCTAAAGGTTTTAAAATTAGCCGGCCTAAAACAAAATATATGGAATCCAAGTTTAGTAATAATAGGATGTAGAGACGAAGAAGTGGTTTAAGATAGCCAAAAAAATAACTACAAGAGATTATTTTTATATCTTGGGTAGATAATCCAAGAGAATGGAGGGATTGAGAAAGATGTTGAGTATAGAATTAGAGTTGGGTGGGCAAAGTGGAGATGCCCATCAGTAGTTTTATGTAATCATCGTATATCAATGAAATTGAAAGCGAAGCTCTATAGGAAGGTTGTAACACCAGCCATGCTTTATGGTACGAAATATTGGGCGATCAAGAAACAACATATTCATATGATGTGCAGCTTAGATGGGCATGTTGAGATGGATGAGTGGCAAGACAAGAAAAAATAGAATTCGAAACAAATACATCCGAAGGAACTTAGGAGTGGCTCTAATAGGTGATGAGATGAAGAAAAGTAGACCTAGGTGGCTAGCTATGTGCAACGTAGACCTAATACACTACCCGTTAGGAAGGACATTAGGTTCAAGTGGAAGGCTCTAGAAGGGCAAGGAAAAGGCCCAAAAGGGCATGGTTGGGAGTCGTGAGAAGAGATATGGTGACTTATGGTCTAACTAAGGGTATGACCCTTGATAGAGCAGAATGATAGAACCAGATTCATGTAGCCTATCCAAATAGTTGGAATAAGTCTTGGATGATGATGATGATGATGAAGAAGAAGAAAAATAAAATAGACAAATAGAAAAAATAGATGGTTAAAGAAGGGAGGGGAAATAGGTTATTTTAAAAGGCCATGGCATCTCAAGTCATTCTAAGGATAACATCAGCCATAAACTCCTATTATCAAATTCTGGTTGTGTGGGGGTATGTAGTTATATATCATCTCATGTAAAAAATCCCTAATATTTATTTCTTTTCTCAAGCACACCTTATTTAGTTATATATGAAAAAGGAAAGATCGTATAGCACATACGTAGTTATATATCATCTCATGTACAAAACCCCTAATATTTATTTCTTTACTCAAGCAAGTCATGCAATATGTCCATTTTGACCTCAAGTAGTAATTAACAGAAAATAGCAAGTGCAGCATTACAATTATTTCATTTACATCAAAAAACATGTATCATACAATGGAGAGAGAATGTTAAGGTGCACGCTTCCAATGGAACCACAATTACTAAAAGAAGAGAGACGTGCAAACTCTGAAAATAATGAAAATGAGAACACAAAACTCAGAGTTGTCTTATAGCATAGTAGGGTGTTATGGCATGGCATAGGATAGCAAATAAAGTCTTTAGGATTCTTAAATTGGTCCAGTATGATATATCTTTATTTGGTACCGCTCTCGCACCCGCACCATTAATAATGGATGTCAAGTATGGAGAAGATTCTCAACTTTATTTGGATACGATTGAAAAATTATATTTTTGAAGCTCTTTAATAAAAGGACGGGAGAGAAACAATCCTGTGATCCAACCCTCTTTACTGCTTAATGAGTTCTGACAAAGAAATAACACCACATAACATATTTCATATAGAACAATTGAGCATAATTACTAGATGTCATACTTTCAGCCAAAAGATGAAGGAAATAATGATTTTATTTTCCCTTCTACTTATGTAAATAGCATGGTTTGCCTCATCCCTTATCAACTTAACCCAAAGAGCACCAACTTCTAATTTGTTAATAACTCAATAAGCTCCACAAACAGAATAATATAAACAGAAATTACCCAGGATAAATTTAACTTAAAAGTCACTAGATGTTCATCAGTTTCCAACCCCCATCATTTTCCTTATAATGCAGCAGAAACTGAGAAGCACTTAAGAGTACTAAATTGCTCCTATTAATGTTAAAAGATGCCAATCCTGATCCCTTTTGAACAAAAGAGCATGCATTGGATATACGAATCGAACAAGTACAGTTTCTTTGGAACCACCCAAAACCCATTTATATTTGTAACTTTAGGTAGAGGTGCATACTTGCCCCTTTACGAAGACCATCTTTGGTATTTTCAAAGGCAGCTTTTGTGATTAATCTCAAAGCCGATGTAAGAGCACCAGATGCAGCTAAGCCAGCTAGAAATGACTGCATTTTACAAGCAAAAGAAAAACTCATAGGAAGTTCTACGATAGTAAAAGAACATACCAGAGAAAAAGGAGACTATTTTCATTACTAATGTATAATTATTTACCTGGACAAATTCAGAACGCATGAAAGAGAGATCACCAACCATTCCTCCCTGGACATGAGCATCTGCAACCCCGAAAGCTCCACTAACAATGCATATGCCAAGAAAAGGTCCTATCCCTCCTGCCCCAGATGTCGCCAAATCTATCTGATAGAGAAAACATTATTGGATTAGAGAGATAGTTATTACATAGAGAAGAGGTGGGAGCGAAAAAGCATTTTAGGACAATTCAACTTGAGACCAAATATGTTGGGAAACTATAAGGCAAAGAGCCATGGTTTATAGTCCTCTGCCTCTTAAAATAGACTTTATCCCCTTCGCTTTCCATCATTTCAATGGTTGGTTATGACACAATTGACTATTTTTATATAGTCAATTGACACTTTTTACACAATTGACTATTTTTTACATCATCATCGTTATAGCCTTTTCCCAACTAATTGGAGCCGGCTACATGAATCCTGGTCTGCCATTTTGCTCAATTAAGGATCATACCCTCAGTGAGGCTATTAGTCCCCATATCTTTTCTCACTACTTCTAACCATATCCTTTTGGGCCTATCCCTTGCCATTTTTTAGCCTTCCACTTGAACTAACTCACACCTCCTAATAGGTGTTGTACTGGAACTGTGTCACACATGGCCAGCCCACCTTAGTCTACTTCTCTCATCTTATTACCTACTGATTCTACACGACCTAAATTCTCCCAAATATATTCATTTTGAATTTTGTCCATTCTTGTCTTATCACTCATCTATCCCAACATCCTCATCTTAAGTACATTCATTCTATATTGTTTCTTGACCGCCCAACATTCTGCCTCGTAAAATAAAGCTGGTCTCATAGCTGTCTTATAGAACTTAACCGTCAGCTTCATTGGTATGCGTCGATCACATAAAAATCAGGTTGTACAACTCTACTTCGCCCACCACACTTTAATTCTATGTGCAACATCTTCCTCAATCTCTTCATTTTCTTGGATTATCAACCCTAGAGTGCGCTCAATCTCTAATTGAATCTCTGATGCAAGACAAAATTATTCTCACTTTTAGTTTTTATTCAAGTTCAGATGATATATATTTTAAGTTTAGCTTAAGGATTTTGTTTTCAGGCTTTTAAGTTTCTTAATGAATTCTAGATATTTTTAAATATATGATTTATTTAATATTACTGGTTACTATTTACAAGTATTGTTCATGGATATTATTCATGGGTTACCGTTCATAGGGCATTTCTGAAGTTTTTAAATTGTCTAAAGGTATTTTAAACTTTTTGTTTAAGTTAGGATATAGGTGTCAATTTCTTACAGATATGGACAATTATTGTCCTTTGAACATTGAATAAAGATTACATAAGAGGTGCGTGGGAGCCCTAGGAGGCTAGCACATGATGTTTTACAAATATTATCTAAAGACAACAAAGCTTAGGCTTCAAACCTTAATCTTGGGTGAGGAGTAAACTTTAGGTTTTCTCTAAATTTGTGCATGTATTTAACTTCAAAATCTTGTTGTTTTTACTATTCTTCAAATTTTCCAGCATCAATTTGGTATCAAAAGTCAAGTCTTTCAACAACGAAACCAGGAAACTACAATTAAATGTAGGTTGGGCCAAGTTTTGCCATATCAGCCTATATCTTATTGATTTCAGCCCATTATAATTTCAGTGAATCCATAATAGCGAGAAGGAGCTATAAAAGGGTGATTTTTACAGATCCACTTTGTGATCCTAGAGATAAAGAAATTGAGGGACTTAAAAGACAAGTTCAACATCGATGCAGCAGTTCGCGAGTATCTATCATGGGCAAGACAGTGATTTTTTCGCCCAGGAAGATCTCGATTTTAACTCTTTTCACTCCCATACTCCACATGAAGAGTCGAGTGAGGAAAGTGATAGTAAAACATGTGGAAAGCCGCTCTAGGGTTTTCAATTTGAAGGAGGAAATTATTGATTTTAATGTATCTAAAATCAACAAGTCGTAGCTTGGGTTGCAATCTGCCACCAATCTTCAATACAAACTTAGATGAAGAACAAGATCTTGTAAGAGATCCAATCTATGATATTGAATAAAATTTTGTAGTTGAACCGTTCTTTGGGAAAGAAAAAGATGGATGACTCCAAGGAGAATCAATAGGTGAAGTTTTTGATTTAGTCATTGAATCCAATGTTCATCTCGAAGATGCACCCGTGGTATGTACGAGGGTTGATCCTAGCAAGATTGTATGACCAAATTGATGCAATTTCATCTAATTTATATGGCTAAATAGACTCTATCGGCATAAGTGACCATTTCCTGAAGGTTACTCAAAAGTATTTATGAATATATCAACTGATTTTAAAGCGCCACCTCGATGCATGATCAATGTATTTTGACTGGGGCAATGAACTACAAGTCCAAGGATCGAAGCTTAATGTTTGGGTTGAAGAAGATTGTGGAACTAATGGGAAATTCATCTTAGCCTACTTCAAAACTCGAGTATGGGTTTTTTCCTACCAGGAAAGAATGATGAAGGAAAAATTATTTTTATTTGAAATTTTTATTCAATTTCAAAAGACGAATATTTTAATTTTAATTCTACAATTTTTTTAGGGTTTTTACGTTTTTTTAGAGAATCCAGTGTTCTTTTTTTATACTTTTTATATATTATTCCTGGTTACTATTTATAGGTACAGTTCACAGATACTATTCACTGGTATTGTTTATAGGTTACTGTTCATAGGGGTATTTCTGAAATTCCTAATATTGTTTAAGGGTGTTATGGACTTTTTGTTTAAATTAAGACATATGTCAACTTCTTACTTGTTTGGACATTATAGTCCTTTGGATACTAAATAAAGATTATTTAATAGGTGCGTGGGAGCCCAAGGAGGCTAGCACGTGATGTTTTACATAAATTAACAAGAGAAAACAAAGCTTAGACTTTGAACCCCAGCTTGTGAGAGGAGTAAACTCTAGGGTTTCTCCAAGTTTTTGCATGTATTTGGCTCGAAAATCTTGCTATTTTTACTCTTCTTCAAATTTCTCTTCGTTACATTCCCAAATGTATTTGCGGATTAGTGAGAAGAATACTCACCACCAGAACTAATAGTGAACTACAGAAAAAGAGAAAGTATCCAGTTAAGTTGCGGCGCCTCGTATTGATCGTGGCCTCATTGTATGTCAATATCGCAAGCGTTCCAAGTGCAAATGGTTGATAAACAAGAGATAGCACTCGTGTAGGATGATACTTCTGCATTAAGAAGCAAAGTTAGTCTAGAATCTGAATTGATTAGTGTATGTGAGAAATATCAAATATAATGAGTATTATTGGTGGAAATATGACATCTTACACATCGTTACCACGATTCTTAAGAAAAGCACATATAATGAACTACACATTACAAAAAACAAAAAAAAAGGATTAAGCAGTTGTGTAATAAAGATATTAAAAATGCAATAAATAGGCCTTCTAAATACCAAAGTGTGAAACAGCCAAAATACAAAACACCTTATGATTACATTTTATTTTCACAAACACATAACATTGGCTTCTTGATCTTCTCTTCTGCAAATGAAATTAATGCAATGGAGAATTTCTAGAAATAAATCAAAGAACTAAAAATTTGATTGAAGATAACAATGAACATTTACAATCTTCATAGCTCTCTAGTGCAAAAACTCTTTTCAACTAGGAGTCTGAAAAAAAATTAATATTCAAATATGAAAAAAAATTCCCATACAACCTTTACTTATAATAAAATACCTACTTAGAAGCCAAGAAATCCTAATTCTCGTTGAAAAAATAGTCTCTTGGGTCGATAATCCAAGAAAATTGCGAGATTGAAGAAGATGTTGCACATAGAATTAGAGCTGGGTGAACGAAGTGGAGATGTGCAACCGGAATTGTAAGTGATCGCTGCATATTAATGAAGTGGAAGGGCAAGAGGCAAGTTCTATAAGACAACTATGAGACCAGCTTTGTTCTATAGGGTAGAATGTTAGCCAGTCAAAAAATAATATACCCACAAATGCGTGTAGTGGAGATGAGAACGTTGATATGGATGAGTGGCAAGACAAGAAATGATAGAATTCGAAATGAAAACATTTGGAAAAATTTAGGTGTGGCACCACTAGGAAATAAGATGAGAGAGAGTAGACTTAGGTGGGCTGCCCATGTGTGGCGTAGACCTAGTACAACACCTGCTAGGAGGTGTGAGTTAGTTATAGTGGAAGGATAAAAAAAGGCAAGGGGTAGGCCGAAACAGACATGGTTAGAAGCAGTGAGAAATGACATGCGGACAAATGGCCTAACTAACGTATGACTCTTAATAGAGCAAAATGACAGACCAGGATTATGTAGCTGACCCCAATAAATTGGAAAAAGGCTTTGATGATGATGACGAATAATTAAAACCTATAAGGACTCTAATTACTTGTCAAAAAGGGAAATGAATCATGAAAAAAAAATTAAAAAATCCTAAAACCCCTAAAAATAAAAAACATAAAAATAAGCCCCAAAAATCCCAATGAATACAACCTAAAATTTAATAATAAAAATTTCAAAGGGGAGTAATCATGTGTATTTTAGATGCATAGCATTGGAATGATTTTGGATCCTAAGCAACTGATTAAAACTAATCTTGGGATTGATCTTATTTTTTATTAGTTCTATTCTACCTTTTTGCTAACCATTGTGCAAAAAAGTGGACCGCCCAATGCCTCGGCGGTCCAAAAGGCCTGGGCCTAGGCCAAACTAGGCGGCAGTCTCTTGGCGGCCGCCTAACCAAAATGGAACCCACCTAGGCAGTCGCTCAGCGCCTAGCCCTGGGTAGCCATCCAAAGCTTGCGCCCCGCTTAGGGGCGAAAATTTTATTTATTTTTTGTTGTATTGATATTTTTTTAAACATAAAGGGTTTTAAGGATGGGAAACCCACAAGAACCCATTTTAGAGAAAAAGAAACCTCAAAGAAAACTAAATTTTGTGACTTTCATTGAATCAAAGTGTTTCTCAAAGTTATGGAAAACGGATCCAAACATCACCCAAGTAGATTTGATTTAGTTTTGGAGTTTTATAATCCTATTAGAGGGTGCTTTTTTATTATTTTAGTACTAGAAAACATCTCAGAGGTAGGAATTTGGAGTTCAAGCAATCAAAGTAAGTGCAAAACTTTTATATTTTAAATTGCTTGTTTTATTTTGAGATGTCTTCTTCAGGATCTAGTTGAAGTGGAGATCTGGGTTGGAAATATGGATATTACCCGAATCCAAATGACAAAAATTGCATTTAATGCAATTTTTATGAAAAAGATACAAAAGGGGGCAAAAACCGGTATAAGAAACATCTTGCCAGTATTAAAGGGGAGGTTGCCCCTTGTAAAAATATTCTTGAAGCTATTAGAGAGGAGATTAAATAATATATGAGTTTTGTAAACTAAAAACAGGAACAAAATCCTTGTCATTTGAATAGATCTATTTCTGCTACTTCTAGAAAACGTGATCCGGGTTGGAAGTACTGTTATAACCCAAAACCAAAGGATGAAAATTGTATAAGGTGTAATTTTTGTGAAAAATATACCAATGGGGGTATTAATCGATTAAAAAAACACTTTGCTAGTATTAAAGGGAATGTTGCTTCTTGTAAAAAGGTTCCTCAAGCTATTCGGGATGAGATTAGACAACTTTTGAATTTAAAAGTACCAGAAAATGATGAAAATTAGCCTTGTTCTATGGAAATATCTCCTCCAAGTTCTTCTAGAAGTGGTGATCCAAGTTGGAAGTATGGTTATAACCTGAATCCGAATGATAAAAATCGTATTAAATGTAATTATTATAGAAATGATACTAATGGGGCATTTACCGGTTTAAAAAATACCTTGTCGGTATTTAAGGGGATGTTGCCATTTGTAAAAATGTTCCTAAGGCTACCAAGGAGGAAATTATACACTATTTGAGTTCAGGAAAGCACAAAAGGATAAAAAAAAGGGTAGAGCAACTAAGACTCCTAGGGCGTCATCTGCACATACTAGTAAAAGGGAGGTAGAAGAGGAGGAGGAAGAGGAAGATTCAGAAGAACCAGAGGAGGACAAGCATTATATTGAAGAGGGAGACGACTCTGATGATGATGGCCGCGAATCTGATGCATATGATGAAGCTTACCCTATTCCTTCTGATGACGATGATGATGATGATGACAGAAGACTCTTGGTGTTGAGTGTGGAGTGTTGACTATTGTGGCCTAGACTGTATATTTTCTGAATTTTTGTATATTGTTTCTCTTATTTAGTTCTAGTTCTACTATCTAACTTTTGTGTGTACACTCTACAGTGTATCAGATTATCAGTGTATGCTTGTATGGTTTTACTGTTTTAGCATTGTATGAAAATATGGATTATGGTCTTATGGATTATCAAAATTCTCTTCTGGATTTCTATCTTTCTTTTTTAAACTGGGATTACGGCCTTATGGATTATCAAAATTCTTATAGATTATGGTCTTATGGATTATCAAAATTATTATGGATTAATCATTATTCAGTCATTAGTTTTTTTCTTTTTTTCAACTAGGCTACTCAGGTTCTGGGCGGCCTGGACCCCCATGGCCGTCTGGGTGCCGCCTAGCGCTTTATGAAACATTGTTGCTACCCATATTTACAAAACTATATTTCTCTTTCTATTTCATGTATTTTCCTGAGTCTGTGCAATTTTACCCAAGAAGCCAGAATGAAAAAACAAATGGCATTTTCCATCTCTGAACTTAGAAACCATTTATCGCCCTTGCACCCAAATTCCAACTGTCAAACCATTTTCCCCTTTGAACTGAACCCAAATGCCAATCTTTCCTATTTCGATACAAAACCTATTTTTCTCTTTATGGCAATAATGGCGATCACTAATTGGTGTAGTTTTATCATGGTTATTGTCTCCTCATAAATTCCATGGTGATGTGCTATAAGGTTTCCAACAGAAGAAGAAAATTAAAGCCATGAGTGTATGGAGATGGAGACCCAAAAGATACGAGAAGATTGAACTGATGAAGTTTTCCCATTTTTTGTCCTGTTTTTTCCTCCTAATCGAGGGAAGGACTTGCTAGAACTGCAAAGGAACAAATACAAACAGTTTCAAAAGAGTTGTAACTACGCAATTCAAATTTACAATAAATAAAAACAAACAAGTTAATATGTTCTTCTGCTTTTAACTAGAAAAAACAGCTAATGTTTCCTTGTTTCTAACTGGGGAAAAAACCATTGCTAATGTCCATCTTTGGAGTTTATGGGGTAGGAAAAGCCAGAAAATAATAGTCTATGTTCATACTCATCTTAAGAAGTAAACAACCACCCAAGAAACTAATTGAAGAGGCGAAAGACACCATAAAAACCATTGTCCCTGCTAATTTCCCTGCCTTTCTTTTTTTATTTTTGGTTTGAAAGCAAAAGAATATATTATGATATTGCTGAAAAAGATCGTGACCTGCAATCAGAAGGATTTTAAAAAAGTGCAGTGGTGGTTTGATCCTCTTCTAGGGGTATTTTTCTCCTTGTGCTGCATGCACAATTTAGGGGCAAAAATTCAATGCTCTCTTCATTATTATAACTCACATGCATATATAGGCATTACCCAACCCCGCTCCATACAATATTCAAATTAAGAAACTATAAAAAAAAAACTCCCCAAATCTTATTCGAATATTCTAGATTAGAAAGTTAACTATCCAAGCTGCAATCCTATTATTCTACCTAAGTTCATCCCTTTATTCTAGCCTACGGTTAGTGGTCAATCATTACCCCTCTTGATCGTTCACCTCCAAGTCGGCATCACCATCTGGCATAAACAATTGTTGGGACATACACTTGTGGTCTAGTGCGAACTTCTCGTATTAAAGCAAAGGCCCTTGTATCTATACTCCTCCATCTCCACATAGGTCAATTTCTTAATCTCAGGGTTTCTTAACTTAGAAGCCATGGATAAGGGTACGGTAGCCTCCTTCAAGTTACTTTAGTTCTTTCCTCTGTGCCTAAGGCATTGTAGTTCTTCCTCTTCCATATGTGCAAGGCTGATCATGGTTGTCAAGGTTGAGAGCTGGAACATTTGGACCTCAATCCCAATCTCTTCCTTTACGCCCCTGATAAGCGCCTGATCAAACCATTTTCCATCCACCTATCCAACCAATTCGCTAGTTGCCAACAAAGTGTCTGATATTCTCAAAGAGTCCCATCCACCAAAATTGGCTGCATCAAAATCTTTGTACTCCATG